TTCAGTTGATGATGGCACCAACCAAGAAAAACACTAATAACATTGAGAACTCAAGAATTCATGAACTATAACCAAAGAAATTTTTTCCAAAAACAACAGACAATTTACTACTGTGATAAAACAAAGAACAAGCAAATGATATTTTAGTGTTGTATACGACCAGAGGATTTTGCAGTAAAATTCATAGCTAGGAATTGACAATTAAGACAGATTTTAGTTTCTCACAAATATGTGACTTCAAGAGGACTAAATTGAATTACAATTCAAAATATCTAAAGTAGGAAAGCAGAGAGCAAGCCAAGGATTCATATATTACAGAAGACAATAAACAGAAGCAAATGGAAACATGCCACGAAAGATACCTGATTGCTCACCAGGATCAGAAAATTCCAGTAGACAGAGAAATCTTTAATAATGAGAACTGCAAGGCACTTCAGCTAAACAAAGGGCCTTGAAATTACGTCTCTCTCATGCCCAAGTCTAGAACTTAGGCTTGCATAAATCTGACTCTTGTGCAAAGCAAATCGATCTTATGCTATTCACTACATGTGAATCTTGGACAAGGTCAAGTTCGGTCACCACCTATTCTGGACCCACACCCAGACCAAGCAAAGGTAAAATTTGGATGTCAACCTCCCCATTGGAGTGGGTGAATGAATCCAGGTCAATTTCAAGTCAGTTTAGAGCTTACGTTTCAAGAATCAACTAATTCATAAGGTAAAAGGATGTAGTAGCATATACAATCAAAAGAATAAAAAAAATTAAACAATGAAATTTTTCCCCAAAGAGCAAGAAATAAAAGAAAATTATCATAAAAACAATAAAAAACCTAATAATTTGGATACACCACAAAATTTTAAAGAGAACGTCAATAGACGCATAAAACCAATCAATTTCTGCCAAGATTAATAAAAGTCAATGAACGCATAGATAAATATATAATTTATATTGTATATTACATTAAAAAAAATAAGTAAAATATAATTTGGTCATGTGCAGGTCTGTGCATTTTCTTTGACCAGTATTCGGAACCCGCAAATGAACCTAACTTAGACACACATCCAACCACAGTCTTCGGTCTAGGTCAGGCATGGATGCACATGCTCTTACATGCTCCTTACAGGCATACAACTGGAAACATTATATACATATATATATCACATAAAATATGAGGATATGTTATCCATATATTTCTTTTCCTTTTCAAATACAATGTAGACATATGCACGAGTCAGGTTGTAAAACATGGTTGTCAATGTCCAGATTACTTCGGATATTGTTCTAAATGAACTTTGGGAAGTCAACTTACCAGCTGAGAAACTAGACCATACAACAATTGTAAGTGGTCTTAGTTTAACAACTTTACACATTCCATATATATTGAATATCTGTGTACATGGTTCATCTCCTTTTTCATGTCGAAGATAGATAATCATAAAAAGTAAACAAACAAGAAGGATAAAAGAGAATTTTATGATTTACTTAAATAACAATAGAAGATATATCCGGATTAGTTAGTGCATTGTTGCACAAGTGATAGATCTCAAGTTCGAGTCCACGTGTGAGCATCATGTATGCCATTTGTCGTAATGAAAATTTATTTTAATTTTTTTTTAAAAAAAATAGAAGATACATCTTGTATTTGTGCAATACCATTTCTCCATCAAAGATAATCTTTTATAAACATTAGACAAAACTTCCAGTAAAGTAAATCTTTCAGAGCTTATTGCTCCCTGTACTATACATGGAGACTAATTCCTGTAAAATAATCTGATCCAAATAGGCCTTTAGTACTTAAAGAAGCATTATTAGGAAATGGTGACATTCTTCCAGTGTTCCAAAGTCCATAAATGTAGGGATTCCATCTTAAGATTAATTATTTTTAGTAAATAACCATATCAAATCATGGTTTTAGTTATCAATTTGAGTGGGGGGAGACCTCTTCTTTTAGTTTCCCAAAAACTAAAAAAGTAAACCTTTATTCTTATAAAGAAAGATGTTTCGAAAAAGATCATGCTCAAAGCATTAACTTCGTAAGAAACACAAGAAGGGCATCTTAGTTTAAACAAGTGAGAAAACAAGATAATGAACCCAACAAAACCATCATACTGACTGGCAGTTACAAACAAAATTAAGACCTGCTTGACAATAAACAAAGTACAAAAGCACAGACATGATGCACTCGTCCTCGAATTAGCATAAGCAACTAATGGATACGGTGTTGCATAAAGAATTAACAGATATGGAGTAACAAACATACTGACGTCGAACTAGGACCATGGTCATACCAGAAGTACAACATCTAAGCACCTTGACCTATTTAAAAGATAAACAAAGATGCTGATGACAATGACAAAGAATAACCCAAGTATAAAAATTTAATGCTAAAGTGTCAAAAGTTCAAAAGGGAAAACTTGTCATACACAAATCCATGTTTTACAGGACTTGTAGGTAATGACATATCCCATAACCATAAATCCAGTCAAAAACATACTTTCTTAGTCGTTGTCGCTGCAATTCCATGTAATCCATGTCTTACACTGACTTCACTTATACCATCAAATAAAGTGGTTAATGAGATAAAACCTAGAAAAACAATTTTCATGCTTGACAAGTCACTCAGTTTTCCAAGAAAGACTACCATCTGAAGTGCTTGTCTTTTAGCTATGGTCTACGGAATAGAACGATAGGACGACTAAAAATACACAGTAACTTAACCACAGTTGGTTATTTAATTCCCAAGAGAATATCATTTGAAGTGATTAGCAATTAACTCAATCGTGTCAATAAGATCTGTTTCAACCAAATAAAAAGGCTACACAGGTCATCTGCTAATTGGTCCTAACATGGACTTTTCTGGTCATTACTCAGTTTCGTGAATGAAACGACTGCAATTGAGATCTTCGGAACAAAGCCATCACTCGTAGATCCTCTGTGGTGTTTATGTCCGTTGTATTACATGACACCATAAATATCGGAGGATCATAATGGAAGATAAAAAAAGCAGATTCCGAAATTGGTTACCCAGCAAATGTAGTAATATAATGCATGCTTTCTACAAGGAACAATAAGAGAAATAGTCTACATCCAGTTCATACTAAAACAACGGGAATCAGAAAAGGAGCAACATCAGCAAAAAGTTACCTCGGGAGGAGGAGGAAACTCGCTCCTCCTAGTCGCATCATCCAAGGTCTGAAACAAAGTCTCCCGAGCTCTCAATGCCTGCGTCTCCAACCACTCTTCCTCCGCCGCCGCCATCGACCGGTTACGAGGATCCATAGCCATGCCTCTCAGCAGCGCCAGCATGCCGACGAGTTCCGATCTAGTAGTCTTTCTTGACCCGGAAGGGCTCGGGTCCCCTTCGCGACCGGCCATCCTCTCGTCCGGCTGCCTGACAGCGACGTCGGCATCGTACATGCCGCCCTCGTCCGCGGTGAACGAAATCGGATCCGACGCGTCGGGAAGATGCGAGCGGGGGAGCGATTCCGACTCGGGAGACGGAATGGGGAGGAACTGGTGGAACTCAGGGGCAGTCGAGAAGGCGGTCGAGGCGACGGGGATGCGACGGAAGAAGATGCCGCCAAGCCCTTCTTTCTTCTCTTCTTTGTCCTCCTCCGTCGGGATTAGGAGAGGGTCGAGGGTGACGCCGTCATCGAAAAACGATAAGCTGGTCATCGGGACTACACGTCGCCCGCCTCCGCTCGCAAGGGGCTACCGATGGAAGAAGAGATGGATGGAGAGAGTGAGACAGGGAGAGAGCGCGAGGTCGGGGGAGATCAATTTACGGAGAGACCGCCCGAGTTGAAGAAGTTGGCGCCTATTTTTTCATTTCAGCAGACACCTGACAGGGCAATTGAGGACAAGAAATAAGGAGTATGCTTCCGCCTCGGCAGACCACTATCTCCACAATCCATTACAGAAGAAGACATCGAACCATATTCCACACAGCCTTTTGTTCATGATTCCTTTAGCAATTAAAAAATAGAGATGTATTCTTTCCTCTCTACATCAATGTTACACGACATCTGCGTTTACCGATCGGAAAGCGTATGACCGAATTGGGGACATCCACAGCCACATTAATCGGGATAAGGCCTCGGAACTAACTCATGTCCGAAAGGCTACCCGAGCAATTAGGGTTTTGTTTGGAGGAGTAATAAAGCCTGGGTGGGCATGGAAATTAAAGGAAATCCAGCATGAGGGTTACATGTAATCGTTTGATTTAGACAAGCTAAGCTCTACAGAGAGACATGTCTTCCGTAACCTAAGAAACGAAAAAGAAGGGAGAAGAAAATACCAGTCAAACCGTAGAGAAGCATGTAATTTTTGGGCGTCGAAGTGGGAAGAGAGAAGGGGAAACCGAGTATTATTAACAGCAATAATACAAATATGGCCAAGGAGAGGAAAGACTCACTCACACACAGCGGCCGAGGAATTTGGGGGAGCGAAGAGACCCTTCGAACCTTATGAGCTTGGTATTATGAGGGGCACACGAGAAATTTGGAGGCGCTAATAAAGAAATGCTACGAGGGCAAGAATTCGGGCGGTCGTCGTCGGAACCTTTTAGAGGCTGTGTTGGTGGAGTCCAAACAATACAAAGGACGGTAATACATGGGTTTTCTTTAGTGTGATTGAAAGGACAATAACACCTAATTCTTGGTTGCAATATTCCGGTCGATACCCGTTGGTTCCGTGTGAAAAAGGCCGCAATGTGTCTCGCCTTGTTTTGCCCATCGGGCGTCGTTGCAGACGATTTTACCATGTTGTCCCCGTGGCTTCGGCCTTAAAATAAGGATGTCGGTTGAATTTACTGGATTGACCTTGGGGCGGTGAAATCGTATCAAACAAATAAAGTCCTACCGCAGATATCTGACCGTCCATCAAGTAGTCTCGGGAATCTCGACGCCTCCTACACGATTCCTGATCCTGTGGGCATGATCTTAAAGGCCTCTGTTGAGATTCGTGCATGTCCGTTTTATTTCTTTGATTCAAACCTTTTACGCATCGTTGTACGCACCAATTCGAGTCTTGGGTGACGAGACCGGCAGCGGAGCGGTCCCGATGGCGGCGGCCGAACCTCCTGCCTGCGCTTCCCGCCTCCGCCATCTCGTCGAACTCATCGAGCTCAAAGCGCACAAGGACCCCGTCGCCGCCCTTTCCCACCTTGACTCCCTCGCCGCCCACCATCCCTTCTCATGCCCCTCCCCTTCCCTTCTCTTCCGCCTCCTCCGCGCTGTCTCCGCCTCCGCCCCCTCCCACCTCCCCCGCCTCCTCCGCTTCCTCCGCCACCACCCCCGTTGCCCCCGCTTCTCCGAGGCGGCGGCCCTCGTCGCCCTCAAGGCATTCTCCCGCGCTCTCATGCCCGACGAGGCCCTCCGCACCTTCCGCTCCCTCCCCGACATCTTCCGCTGCACGCCCGGCGTCCGCTCCCACAACGCCCTACTCGACGCCTTCGTCCGCGCGCGCCGCTGGGATGAGGCCGAGTCTTTCTTCGCCTTTTTCTCCGCCCGCGCTCGCGTCCGCCCCAACCTCCAGACCTACAACATCCTCATCCGAGGCCTCTGTGCTCGCGAACAGCTCGACCGGGCGCTGGAGCTGCTCCAAACGATCCGGTCTGGCGGTATCGAGCCCAACCGCGTCACCTACAGCACCCTTATGTGTGCCCTGATCAAAAGAGGTGATTTGGACAAAGCACTCGAGGTCTTCGATGAAATGTGCGATAGGAAGGTGGCTGCCGACGTTGTATGCTACAATGTCCTGATCGATGGGTTCTTGAAGAATGATGAACTCGACAAGGCTATGGAGATGTGGAATCGAATGGTGAGCGACAGGGCAGTTAGTCCGACCGTGGCGACCTATAATGTGATGTTGAATGGTCTATGCAAGCTCGGCAAGTTCAATGAGGTGATGGAGCTGTGGGGTCGAATGGTGGCGAACAGCCACCGTCCTGATTCCTTCACCTATGGAATTCTGATTCATGGATTATGTGAGTCCGGGAATGTGGATGGGGCATCACGAGTCTACACAGAGATGATGAAGAATGGGCTTGTTCTTGACACTGTCACCTGCAATTCTCTGCTTAATGGCTTCTGCAGAGCAGGGAGGTTGGAGGAGTCTTCGAAGCTGTGGGAATCAATGCAAAGTGCAGGGCACTGTAACACTGTCAGTTACAACATTCTGATTAGAGGCCTCTTTGAGAATGGTAGGGTAGAAGATGCTATCATCCTCTGGGAACAGTTGCAGCAGCAGCAACATAAGGCTTTGCGTCCAGATTCAGTCACTTATGGTGTTTTGATACATGGGTTATGTGAGAATGGGTACATTAACAAGGCATTGCAAGTACTGAAGAAGGCAGAAGAAGGTGAAGATAAGATTTTGGATGTCTTTGCATATACATCTATGTTAGATGGTCTCTGTAAAGACAAGAGAATCGATGAAGCTATTTGCGTTTACAATCAAATGGCTAAATGTGGTTGCAGACCAAACTCGCAAACTCACAATGCCCTTATAAGTGGCTTCTGCAGAGTATCTAAGATCTCAGAAGCCATCCAGTTTTTCAATCAGATGCAAAGCAGTGGTTGCTCTCCTACTATTGTGACATACAACGCCCTTATCGGTGGTCTGTGTAAAGCAGAAAGGTTCTTTGAAGCTTCTGTGTTTACAAGGGAAATGATGGAGAAAGGCTTCAAACCTGATACAATCACATACAGCTCGTTGATAGATGGTCTTTGTCGAGATAAGAAGCTTGATGCTGCTCTTGATATTTGGAACAGAGTTTTCAATATGGGAGATGGAGCTGATGTCATTATGCACAACATTATCATCCATGGTCTTTGTTCTGCTGGGAAAGTGGAAGAAGCCTTACGTGTTCATTCTGAGATGAAACGAAGAAACTGCATGCCAACCTTGGTCACCCATAATACGCTCATGGATGGACTTTATGAATCTGGTGATTGTGAAAAAGCATCGACTGTATGGATTGAGATGCTAGAAGTGGGATTGGAGCCAGACATCATCTCTTACAACATAGCTCTCAAAGGCCTTTGTTCATATAACAGGACGTCGGAAGCGGTTCAATTGTTGCATGATGCCTTGAGCCATGGCATAATCCCATCCACCATTACATGGAGTATACTTCTTAGGGCAGTGATGAAAGAAGGTCCTGCTCAAACATGATGACTATGAAGTTCTGCCTCAAGGTCAGCATTCTATCTCTTCGTTAACTTTTTATTGTGTTTATTTTGTTATTCTGCTGTTAGGTCACATTTACATGGGATACCCCAGAAGTTCTTAAATTCTCAGAATTCATTCCTATAGTCCCACAGCTAAAATCTTTTCCTTCAATGTCATGGATGGAAGTTATGATAATGCTTAGAGGCCATATTAACAATCAGAATAAATTTCGTTACATTATTTAATGCATAGAAGGCTCTTTTTTCTGGACATCAATGTTGCACCCATTTCACATTTATATCCTTCCTCTCATATTTTCATTAATGATGTAGCTATCCTTCTTAATGTTCGTTATAAAGACTTGGTACCTGAATTTTCCAAAGCTTCTTGGATACTGCAAGTTATTATTTTGACTTATTCTATCTGAGATATGTTCCCTTTTGTAGGTCAAGTGTACAGTCTACTATTTGGCTTCACCTTGTATGTATGCCAACTATTAATTAACCTCCAATCTAACATTGTCATTAGCAGCTTAATACAGAGACCAGTTTCTGACACATCAAGTTAGCAACCATCTCTGCTTTTCCTTGGCTCAAGTTGCAGCAATATTTTTCTTTAGCATCCGGGTGTGTGACTCAATGTGACTCAATTACACAACTTTCAACACCAACAACAAAGCCGTTTTAAACATTGACTAAACCGCCCACCATGGGGCTCAAACCCATGGTCACAAGGTTAAGAGCCTTGCACTCTACCGACTGAGCCGGATGGGCTTGTTCAGTTGCACAAAGTTGGGAATGTCTCATCAGAATCACAACTGGATTCAAAAGCAACTTTAGCTTGTATGTAGCAAACTACAAGATATTCTTTCTATGGATTATCTACATGCATCATTTCATCTTCAACTCTGGGCACACAACATGCTGCACCGCAATACTGATATCAAATTGGTGAGCTGTTATCTACTCCTAGATATTTGGCTTTTCCTGATATCAAATTAATCGTCAATGGCAGGCTGTTCTCCCATATGAACCGAGAAAGCAAGCCCGCGCATTATCAGCCAAATGCTGCAAGTTTACACCAATTCAACTCGTAATAATCAAAAAGAGCATTGCAGATCATGGCCGCAAGCAAAGCCATTAGCACAGGGTATACGCATTGTTAAATATTTGATCCTTCACTGCTTTTCATAGTGTATCTTATCTTTTGTCAGTCCTCTACGTTCTTCTCTTTCTGAAGATGTCTTTGTCTTTCAAATTCCTCATGAACAAGCATATATCTAGCTATCCCAGTCTGTCTAAAATCTTCTTTTTTCCATGACCAGTCTGAATATCTTGGCAAATTATGTGAAAGCATGTACCAGACGCTCCAGGTGCTCTAATATCTTCTACAAGCCAAGCAAGAGAGTACTATTATTTATTTAAGAAGGCTTCTCTGGTGTCAGAGACGCTGACATTGGCTTCCTCAAGCTTTTGGAGTGTTTTTTTTCCAGCTTGAATGATCTTGGCATTTTCATCCTCTGCAAATGGACTGGGGAGCAATGTTCATTGACAAGGTGGTGAGAGAGATCCTTTGGATGTTCGAGTGGTGGACTGACTGATTAGTGAATTTGTAGCTGTTCTTTGCTTTGAGAAGATATCCTAATGCAAGGATAATTGTTGCAATCTTATGGTAAAAAGCTAAGAGATGGTGTTGGCCTGGCAGCAGAAGGCTAGGGAGTATCCTCGAAGTTTTGGTCTTCACCTATTTATTTTCCTGGTGTGAAGGAACACTTCTGATGTGCCTATCGTTTGGTATGTATGGTTGACAAACCATTAAACTTGTAACACCTCTGATTAGTCCCACATCGAAAGTGAACAAAACTAAAATTGACTTATAAGAGTTTGATAAGTGTATTATTATCAATTTCAGCTTAAGTATTTTGATCAGTGATTTAGACCAAACAAAGTTGATAGATTAGTTAGTTCATAAGGCTCGGGTCGTGATATTTGGTATTAGAGCCGATCTAACATTTGGGCATGGTGAGGAGGCTCGAATAGGAAAGGGCTATCCGTAGACGGAGTCAAGAGGACTTGTAATTATTATTTTTTCGATTGTTTCTGATACTTCATCACACTGATAAGTTAAGTTAATAAAAGCTCACTGCTTCTACGTCATGAAGGTTTGAGAGTGATGATAACCTTTTCAAGATTTCATTGGTCATGCCCACCAAAGACAATTTTCATACCTACACCTACTAAAAGTTATGTGCTGCGGTTCTTCTACCAAAGCCTTGCTGTTGTCCAACGTTTCTCTACCTAATTAATGTTTACAATGACTTGGCAGCTGCAGCTCACATCCGTTTATAAGGACGTGTTGGCCTGTCATTACATGCAGACAAAGTTCTACCACTGAGAGAGAGGGAGAGAGCGAGAAAGAAGAAGATGGGACATGGAGGCCCGGGTTTGGACTTTGATGTTTGCCCTGTGCCTGCTCGCAGATTTCACCGAGTATGGACTCCGCACTACCAGTTCGACGTAAGTATGCGAGACTGGTGACATGCAGCACACATCTTGTTAGGCTCAGTCGAAATAGATCAAAAGAAGGTTTGGGGTGATCAAAGGACTTGCCTTGGTTGAGCCTGTGCAGGTGGTCATGAGGAATGTGACGCAGCTCTGCTCCACCAAGCCCATCGTCACCATGAACGGGCAATTCCCTGGGCCAACTCTTGTCCGCGAGGGAGGGCGACGCCGTGCTCGTCAAGGTCGTCAACCACGTCCGGTACAACGTTACCAGCCACTGGTGAGCCGCCACATTCCACTTGTTCCCGCTTCGATCATGATCTCCTACCCACACAGGCACAAACACATACCGCCGGCACGGGGTGGGCCGACGGACCAGCCTACATCTCCCAGTGCCCCATTCGACCAGACCATAACTACGTCTACAACTTCACCCTCACGGGGCGCGGGGCACGCTGCTTTGGCATGCCCACGTCCTGTGGCTACGCGCCACCCTTCACGGCTTCATCGTCGTCCTGCCCAAGCTCGGAGTCCCCTATCCCTTCCCCTCACCTCACCAGGAGGAGGTGGTCATTCTGGGTAAGAACAACGTAGTGTACATCAATCATGCCAACGATGATTTGCTCAATCCCTTCTAGTCCAAGGGAGTGGTGGAAGTCCGACACCGAAGCTGTGATAAACGAGGCTCTCAAATCCGGCCTCGCTCCCAATGTCTCTTAAAACATTTTGATCGATAATCTTGGAGAGAGGATGTGGAGAGGCTGAAGAACGAGAGAAGAGGCTCAAGGAGTCGAGCTAGTGATGTAGTTGGAAGAGGTCGAGCAGTGCCTTGCTGATTACGTTGAACAATTGAAGATGGTCCAAAACAACAACCGTTGCACAGAGGACAAATTGCTACAACTCACCTGAGAGTTTGACTCATCGTGGACATATAACTCAAAGCCCGTTGGACAAGTTTTTGCGACCAATGAGTGGGTCATAAGTGTGATCGAGCAATTGGCTATCCTGAATGAGCAAACTTAGAGTATAGGCAAACAGCTGAGGGCTCAAAGGAGACATTGGAGGCTGAGAGGACCATGATATCGAGGTAGATGATCATCGACTACAAGGCCTCTAAGTATCATTAGAAATGCTATATCACCTTAGCTTGTTTCAAGATGAAGTATCCTAAGATAGCAATTGAGGAAGCCACATTCACTAAGTACCCTGAAATTCAAAATGTTTTGATAGCTACCCAAGTCCCTTTCAATGATGACTTTGACTAACCACTTCACCTTGATGCTTAGTCCGTGGTCTTATTATGTTATGCTGGTCTTCACTATGTCATTAAGTTTGTATACCTAACTTAATCCTTGTGTATTTACTTTGTTATATCATCAAGCTTTTTCACTCAACCATTCTTCTACTTTTGTACTTTTGTAGTTCAATGTCTCATCTTGGATGTAGAGGCCCAACCGAGTTGGTGTAATCTTTTTAAAATAATAAACTCTTCCCTCGACTTATAGTATTTATATCTTAAAAATATTTATTTATTTTTGACAACTAGCATCGATGATATAGAAGATCATATTAGTTATAGGCGTCATACAAGTCAATCACATGAGTGATGACACTTGTGATATACTATGATGATCTCTTTGCTTATTATTATTAGCATTTTATCATATATTATATGGATGTATATTGTGACATCCTTGGATCTGTGCAATGGGAATCGGATAATAATGAGATCACGATAATTAGATCGATTCGTTTTTAAACATAAATCCTAAATCATCTCTATCATATGTTATTCGAGAAGAATATCGAGATAACCGGATAGAATGATGCGTTGTATACTCATCCTTATGATGAATGTGGCTGGTCTCATAATTACTCATATAGGGACACTAGAGGTATAGTGCAGGTGCTCATTATAGAATAAGTTTCATAATTGATCCGCTTATAGAATGTTGGATGGTTATTGATACATGACGTTAGACCGCAATTCTATAGTGTTATTTGTATGTTTGGTCTTTAGACTTGAGACACCAAAGTTGTCTTATATGAGTATTTCATTCTTTGACGTCGGACTTACAGGTTTAGAAGTTCTAGATCTGGTACAATTGGTTCTCAAGAATGATAGTCAATGTTACGAAGGCAATTGAGTATCAACAAAGGATCATTCACTCTCAATATCACGAGATGAATATCTTGTGTGTTCTCGCTTAGATAAAATTCGTGGTCAGGGTCGTTCGGATTGAGAAAGAATAAGTTCTCCAGAAGAATTCGATTAGAGTGAGACTCGAACAAGATTTCGTATGGGCCTAATGTTATTATGCTCAATATACGTATACGATCTCTGAGATATAAATATATGGTAAGTATGAACAAACAAATCTGCGGAGCCCCAATTTAGATCCTAAATTGGATGAGATCCAATTGAATAAGTTGATAAGATATAATTGGATGATTGGATAGAGATCCAAAGAGGATATGATCCATTAAGGATTAAGTTGCTTGTACCTCCTCTCCTCCTCCTCCTTGGCTCTAGTAGCCTTGCGATGTGTGGAGAGGGAGATCTCATAGCGATCTGAGGAGCATCATTGCTCGGCCCATTCTGTGGATCACCGCTAGAGAGGAGCACACAAGTTCTCCTTCATCCACTCCATCGGATCTGAAAATTTCGATGATATACAATCTCTTTAGGTAACACTTCTAATATGATATATGTGATTTTTTAGTTTTACGATTTTCTCATGCATCGATTGTCACAAAACGACCAAGTATTTGACTTTGGAAAATCCTTTTTTTTTTTTTGCTGCGCATGAGATGTCGACCCGTGATTTCCCAACATATCAAGACTTGATGCTCAGAGGATAGTCCCCCTGATCTAACCTCAAGGGCTGCCTCATTGGTAGAACTTATTTAAGTTTATAATGTTTCAAATCCTTAGTAGCACCACCCCCTATACTATTTCGATGTGATAGTTTTTATCTCATATGACTTTGACAACTTTGATATGGTCATTCCTAGTTTCACACTAGCTTGCCTCATATTCAATAGGGTCACTTACTTTAGTTTTTCAAAACCCCAAAGTCCCCATATCCAACTCTCTAAGAGTGAGTATCGTGATTCATACTTGGGTCGAGAGAAGTTTTTCGAGCTGATCCCTTCGATGCCCAAGTAAGTAACTCAAGATAGATGAATTCAGTCGCGAATGGTATCTTAGTATCAAACAATCTCTTAAGATTGTAAAGCATAAGAGCTAGGAACAACGGAACTTACATCGAGTACAGCTTCAACCACGCAATCCTCTTCATGATGGAAGGCACTCCGACTTACACTACACAACCCGGCCAGAAGGAACCCTTATGACCTTACCACATGATAATGAGTTGGATTGGTGTCATCTTATTCGTCTCCTGAAAGCCAACAAAGAATAAGTTCCCATCAGATCTTTGTTGTATTGCATGATCAAACTAAAAGAAGAGAAAGAATAAAACTACACTACCATCCAAAAATATGCAACACTAGCGTGAAATCTCTTTGCCTCTTTTATCTAAATTTGAAGAAGAGAAAGAATAAAAATTACTCTTTAGGGGTAGCTTTTGTCTCTTCTTTTTTTTCACCCTTTATCAGCATCTTTTGCTTTTCTTCTTCCACCTCTTCAACATTTTCCCCATACATTGAGTTGAGATAGTCCACGACCCGACTTGGTGGGTATCAATTTCTCCGAGTCAAGGATGTCAAACAGGTTCAATATCCTGAGGGTGAGCATCTTGATCGTCCCGATGTTCCTGCAAGAGAGCAGGCTGTTATCCGACGCCTCCATCATCAGGAACATGGCCCTTCCGCTTGGGGTCCAAACCCCGTACCTACGCATGACCGTCACAAACTCCGAGCCGAAGTCCTATACCACGAGGGCATCGACGACGTTGGCGAGAGCGGTGGACAGGGCGAAGGTGCTTCTCTATGCGATTGCTTTTGACACTAGTCGCGGGGCTCGGGGACAAAGACCACACCGCCGCCGGGCCGGAGAGAACGTGCACAGAAACAAATAATTCAGAAAATGGTAGAAAGCCTGACAAGAGAAATACTGCAACATTTTGGATCAAATCATAAAACTACTCCGGAAAAAAATATTGGATGCTGTTTATTTCAGTGTTATAGTCCTCCAGCTAAATAGTCACAAAGTATAGCTTTGTTTTCTGTGTGCATATTCTACAATAAGGCACCATAAATTATTGGTTTAGTAATTACAATTCGTGTAACTAATGGTTTCCAATGCCTGCTAAGGACAATCGAATAGAAAATATAACCAGATATGAATGCCCATTAAGGTGGTCTCAACTTTGAATTGCTAAGCTCTCCTGTAACCAATATCCGGGTTGCTTTTACCAGCTCCTCCTTCACCATAAACAGAACTGCTGCAGCAAATACGCTCTGGACTATTTTTGTGCCCATTCCTTTATAGAAACATGAAAGACCTTCATAGCGCATCATTTTTGTGATGGCATCAAATGTACCTTCAGATTTAAAAATAATAATAATAAATTAAAGGTGAGTAATCGGGGAAGCAACACATGATTTGATTAAGATAAGAAACATATATCTATACATCATGAAGTGAATATTTATAAATCTAATTCCTATGACCAAAATAAGAAACATATATCTATACATCTATATGTATTTATGAAACCCAAAATAACCACTGTAAAGTGAATATTTTATTAAAAGGTGAATTACATTTCAGAACTTCACTGAATGTAAAATGCATAGGCATGATATGAAGACCTGTATATTGACGCCTCTTATCATCATCAAGTCCTTGTTTTGCTTGCAGCCTTGCCTGGAAAGAAACAACATATCTAGCGTTATCAATTTAGATCTTCAACAAGATGAAAGGGACAAACATCCACCAGAGAATACTCTAAAATTGATCATTTGTGGATGATGAATGAACTATAAAAGCAGCCATTGAATCAATTTATGAATCTCATCACCTTCACCACTAATAGGGGATATGTAACAAGAGTAGCTCCAAGTTTGGCAACGGCTCCAAGAAGGAAAATCTGTTATGAGTTATTTCCAGCATCAGTGCATTGATATGTATAAACACCAAGAAAAATCTGGACGTTGTCATTTACTCTATGGTGTAGTCAGATCTTTAATGAAATGTTGCAATATACTTGTAATTGTATGGTTGATTTTGAATGCATTAAAGAGGACAGACAGCGGCCCAACACACATGGGCACCAACACAAGCACAGTATGATACTGACACATCGATAATGGTGATATATTTTAAATAACTATGACATGAAACAAAATGAACAGAAAATCAATTATATATATTTTTACATATAGCTCAGGCTCATGTATATTTTAGACAATCTATGATCATCACATCATAACTTATTAGAAGCATATCGATCATGTAAACAAATAAGAGCCCTTCAAAAAAGGCACTTCAACCACGTATAGGAAATATTAAGAAAATTATCATTGTAGCAACTCAAAAGTCCACATAACATCTACAAACCTTATGTAGATTATTGAAGAATCATACATCTATACCATAACTGTAGGTAATACATATTATCTAATATAATTTGAAAACATATCTTGTAATCTTAAAAATAAGTGGTTTAAAACACACTGACACGAAGCACACTTGTAGTATTTATGCTTGGTATGAGGATGGCCACGTTCATTCAACTTTTCCCCGATATACTAGATTATTTCATAACAGACCCAAGTAACGACTGCAATAAATAAAGCAAATATTATGGAAGAATTGATAAACCAAGGTGTGCCCCCACTAGAGTTAATATGAATTAAATTATACAGAATAAAGATTATTGAGAAGAAACAAAGATAACAGGTCACCAGAGACTTTACCAATTCAAATAACTTGCATAAACCAAGATGAATACATTCAAATTCTACTAATGAATTCTCAATAAGTTACGTCAGATATGATAAAGGTCTACCTCAAGAGCAGTTAATCCTTCAGCACCTTTGGTGTTTGTAGATCGTTTTCTCTTGATCTTTTTTAAAAGAGTTTCATATATCATGAACTGGATAGAAGGATTGCTAACCTGAAACAGGTGCACAACTGAGACCTCATCAATTGAAATTCAAAATCTGTTTATTTTCTACTGACCATTATTAGTGTAGGAATTACACCCTTCCAGAAGCCCCAAAATCCAGCTTCATCATAGAGTTCTTGAACCTGCATTGGGAAAAAAAAATCCTGAGTCAATAAAACTAGCCAAACTGAACTTGACAGAAGAGAAATATGTAAAAAGAAGAGAAACCCAGAAATTGTCCTGACAAGACTCGTAAATGAAATATGAAAGAAGGATATGGGCAGATATATTTCAAGACCTTCACGGAATTACAGATTTTCCAAGAAACTGATCGATATGTGAGATGCTATGGCCATAATTAAGAAACTTCAGTATCAAGACAATAGAAGAAATATGGCTGCAATATACAAACCATGTATTCTGAAACCAAGGAGCACTGGAAGAAAATAGGGGGCAACTAAGAACAAAAGGAACTTCAAAATTTATTTCTGAAACAACTCTTGGAACATGCATGGTACTAGCGATAGATCTACATGAGCAGATAAGCAGATGAATCTGAGTTCATTCTAGCAAATCAACCTTAAAGAGTAAAATGTCATTTTGAAATAATGTTAATACACCTATGGTCCATAATGTCACTGAAAAAATTCATTATATATTTGTGGGAAATGGCAAGGAAGTTTCCTACCGTGTAGTATTACCAGTACCAAACACAATCTTTGCCTCAGATTCATAAGATTTTAATGATAGATCTACATGGAACACTTAATAACTATCTATAACACTTCAGAGCCCAAGAGCATTTTTAGGATAATTACCCAGTGCTGCCATTATCTTCATGGGCTAGTTATATGAATCCTATCACTAGCTAGGAGAGAATGCCTTTCTCTAGAACAAAGTTCAGATTGAAAAGTTGATCCCAGTAAATTGTAAAAGATGCTAACTAAGGAAAGTGTCTATGAAAGTGTCTATCCTTTCAAAAGATAGTTACACCAAACGGACCCATGTATCATTTGTCATTGGTCTTGACCCCTGATTATGGAGACAGTTCGCTCATGTCACATATATCAGTACCAATGTCAATGTTAAAAGTTTGAGGTATTTTCTTTCTGTAAACAACTTAAGTTTTCATGACCAATCTAATCATGAAATTGCCCATCACGACAAGATAGACTTTAAGATCCTTAATATACCTCTAGTAATTTTTGCAAACGTTGTCCTTAAGTTGCTGGTAGTTTTCAGAAGCAATTGGCAGCATTTACAGAATTATAAAACCACCACCAGCAGATCCCGCATGAGCAGACTTATTCTATCCTAACTTGGTAGTCCTCTAGGTTAAAATGATGGATAGAGCCTCATTGCACTGGATTTCAAAGTAACTCAAATCTTGTGCACAAGGCCATGCTACATAATTCTGATACAAACATTTGTGATACTGAGGAGACTTGTGCATATATTGTACATTGTTAAGAAACAGCAAATTGACCTATTCAAATAAGTTTCCTAATGTCTAATATGTGTTTGCCTATATTGTGGTATACTAAATGATATACTAAATGATCAACTATATGATGGCTTTAGAAGATAGAATTGACCTCTTTACAATAGACTGCACAATATTTTTCACCCCTTTTCACAATCTTATCTAATTGTATTTGTGGTTCATTTATAAATTCAGCAAAAAGGACTATTTAAGGAGGTATCGTGACATGCCTCGAACAAGTACTTAAGAATTATTTCTATATATAATGCAAGGGTCTCTCCTAACAACTATGTGCATTGTAGTATAAATATGTCATCTACCTTATCCAAGTTTCCGCCATTCTTAACATGCAAAGCATGTGCTATGCTCTAGTATCTATAATGGAATTAAAAGTTAAAAGTCTTGGTCTCCCTTCTATACAACTAACAATGTCAGCGCAACCATTCCTGTACTTCAATGGGAAAAAACATACCAATACAATTAAGCTTTATACTTATCCTAGACAGTAATATTAGATACTGTACTGGTAAAGAGTACAGACAACCAACTTATGCATACCACATGGCTAGTTCTGTATGGTTGATGCTCAACAACTGCAAGCTGAATTGCTTCATCAGGAAGAGATCGTAGAACATGATTAGGTGATCTGTTACTTTTCTTCTTGTGAGTCTGCATAATTTCACATATTAGCACGTCATCGTGTAGGCGAAGTAAATCTTGGCAACTATTTCAACATTGAGGTAACCCGGGATTATGCATGATAGTGCTGAAAAAGAAGACACAACAATGAAAAAACTAGAAATGACCAAAGACCAAACTAGTTTGTTACCTGCATACGAGTAACTACTACCCAGATAGGATTTGTCAGTAAAACATTTACACATCTGCAAACATGAAAATGGCGAGAAACTTAGTAAACAGCTAATTGTACATCAAGTTAAATATATTACACTAAGGATGGTGCTGAAATTAAGAAGGTTCTCTGTCAAACTATTCGTAGGAACCATCTTGCAAAGTAATACAACATAATCATAATATATTAAGCAAGACATGGCAAGAAATAGCAGTGTAACATCCAACTCCGGTAGTACACTAAAAATTTTGAATAAGAAACCAATGTCCTTGTTAATCACCCTGCAAGTGCAGCAACAACAAGTGACTGGAACATGCCTACAGATCCATCACCAATGCCTTTCTTCCAGCGATCTTGAGCAGCGTTTTCTGCCCTGTTCCTAAATATTTGATAGAAATAGTAATAAACACCCTGTACAAGAAAAACAAATTCAACATTAAAGCCTTGTGTGGAAAAAACTTCAAATTATTCTGGTAGTTAACAAACTTATAATTATGCAAGTTAAATACAATGAAAACAGCAAGCTACAAAAGCATGCAGTTGGTGCAAAGGCACTTGCATAATGAATCCAAAAGACAATAGCAAGCAAACAAGCAGAAAAACATAAGCATAATTTGGTCAGAAAGTTTTTTTTCTGTTGGCTAGGCAACATATAACCAGATCTAGACAACATATAACCGGATCAAGTCAAAGCCAAGAAATCCAAAGTCACCACATAATGGGTAGATAATCCCATAGAAGAAAGGTTTCCAAGAAAGTCTTAGCCTTTATGACAACCATCCCCCATTACAATCTTAAGCTTCTGCATTATAAGATTCATCAGCCTCAAATTATAGCAGCATCAACCTAGGGCTCAGTTCCCATGAGAAACATGCTTTTGACAATGAACTTTTTCTTTTATACACAAACTATTTCATAGTGCCAACGAAACTCAAGTGGTTCCTGATGTCATGACAATGCAAACCTAGGGGACAGAACCGACCTTGGTAACAAGTGGTAAGAAGACCTTTCTTCATGTTATTGGAGCCATGCAGTGTGTGAAGAATACCAACAGCGTGAAGAATTGCTGTCATTTAGCTGTATAAAATAGCTTCCAAGCCTTTGCCGACCTCAGAAACAGAAACAAGGAGAAATTGGAATCTTGTCTTAATTATGGAGAGATGCTGCTAAATTGTCTTTATTAGTCAATACAACACATCAAGCAACATTCTTAATCAAATGATCATCTCATTCAAGGTGGCAAGTTACACCGAAAGAATAAATGGAATAGAAATCATGTCTATACACAGCAGTCGTCCTGATCCTAAAACTTCGACCCGAGACAGTACTAGTAGCAACTGGACCTGGTCAAGAACCAGCCAACCGGACACAAGCTGCCATCACAGGAAGAAAGAAAAAGAAATGCAACCAACGTGATTGTAATCGATAAGGACAGGAAGCCCATAGCAAACACGGGAAGAAGGTACAGGGAAAGGTGGGACCGCACAAGCAAGCTTGTCAACTAGAAAGGGCCAATGAGAAGAGAGGCAGCGTTGGCAAACCAACCTGGGAAGCCGCCGTGCCGACCACCGACGGCGCAAGCCCACCATAGAGCCGCTCCCATCCCTCTTGCTGCACCACCTGCGATCAAGCAGGTTACCCCGACCAATGCAGGTCGCCTAAAAACACACGGAACAAAAAGATCTCCAAAATCAAGGGAAGCCGGTGGAACGTACCTCCAGCATCTGCCGCACGACGCCATCCCTTGCGGCGAACTTGGACGGATCGCGCTCGGTCTGTTGACGGGTGTTCACCTGAGACGATCCGATTCATATGAGAGATCAATTTGACGAAAGATCAATTACAAAAACCCAAAACAGAAACTGATCAAGAAAGGATAAAAGGAGTACGGTTTGCAAGGGGTAGGTGATGAGCTGTGCGATGATCCCACCACCGGCGCCGGCCAACCCGTTGATGAGCGCGTCCGACATCCCTCCCTACCACCGCCCTGTCCCTCCCTGCCCTTATGACCAACTCGCTCAAGAGACCGGGCAAGAGAGAGAGAGAGAGAGAGAGAGAGAGAGAGAGAGAGACAATGGTAGGTAAGGT